TCAGGCCGGCTCTGTCTCCTCCAACAGAGCCCAGCTCGGCTGGCCTTTGGGAAGGTTCCTGAAGGCTGCTCTCTGCCTCCCTGGTGTGGGGCCTGAAAGGCCATCCACCTTCCTGGGCGCCCCCGCCACCCACCCACGTCCCCAGTGTGTGGGACCGGGACTGTGGTGGGGCAGGGAGGACTGTGGCTTCCTTTGTCCAGGGTTTGGAACTTTTTGTTCTTGCCGTTATGATTTTAGCCCCAAATTCACTGGAGTCTCGCAAATCTCTAGATGTCATGGCACAGAACTCTCCCTCAAAGCCTGTCCTTGGGAAAGGCTGTGGGGGGCTTAGTTTGGGGACCTTGCCTTTTTCTTATTTTATTTTTTTCTTTTTGGTTTTAGAGATAAAGAAGGGAAAGAGAGAGAGAAACATCGATGAGAGAGAACATCGACTGGCCGCCTCCTGCATGCCCCTGACTGGGGATCAGGCCCACAACCTGGGCACGTGCCCTGACCGGGAATCAAACTGGCGACCTCTTGGTACACTGAACCACACCAGCCGGGCTATTTTACCCATTTTTAAGTGTACAGTTCAGTGGCATTATGTACATCACATCGTTGTACAACCATGACCACCGTCTGTTTCCACGACTCTTTTCATCTTGTAAAACTTACTCTGTTAGCAATAACAATGAAATAACAACACCCCATTCCCCCCTCTTTCCACCACTATTCTACTTTCTCTCTGCGTTTGACTTTTCTAGGTAGCTAATATAAGTGGAATCATATAGTATCTGTCCATGTTGTAGCATGTGCCAGAATTTCCTTCCTTTTTAAAACTGAATAAAAAGCCCCTGTAAGTACACCCTACATTTTGTTTCTCCAGTCATCTATCCATGGGCGTTTGGGTTATTTTCCCCTTTGACTATTGTGACTAATGCTGCTATGAACATGTCTGAGTCCCTGCTTTTAATAATTGTGGGTGTATTGCTGGATAATGGGATTCTATGTTTAGGACCTTGCGTTCTTCCTTGCTTTGTTTCATCCCTGGACATCACCAGCTTATTGAGACCCGTCAGGCCTAGCTTCTGCCCCAACTTTGTGTCACCAGCAGATCTGATAGTTGGCACCCTTCCTAGACTGGCTTACAACCAGCAGCCAACCCACATAATTGTACAGGCATCGGCACCTGTTTTCTTTCCCCACCAGCCCGGCAGAGGGGCCTGGCTCACCCTGGCAGAGATGACAGGTCGGCCATGGTTTTCTGTTGGGCTGGCCTGACAATCTTGTTTCAAAAGTAAATGAGCATGTGATCCAGCAACCCCACTTTTAGATATATGCCCAAGGGAAAGGAAAATGTATTGTCACAAACACTTGTCCATGAGTGTTATAGCAGCATTATTCGTAACAACCGACAGTGGAAACAACTCAAATGTCCATCAACCCACGAATAGATCAATAAAATATAGTCTGTTTACACAATAGGACATTATTTGGCAACAAGTAAAAAGGAATCAAGAATGATTAACATATGCTACAACATGGATGAACCTTGAAAATATTAAGAAGCCAGGCACAAAAGGTCATACCATAGGTATGATTCCATGTCTATGAAATGTCCAGAATAGGCAACCCATAGAGACAGAAAACAAAGCAGTGGTTGCTAGGGGTGGAGTGGGGGAGAGGGGAATGGGGAATACTTGTACAGATTTCTTTTGGGGGTAATGAAAGCATTCTGGAATTAAGTAGTGATGATGGCTTCACAACCTTGCCAATATGCTAAAAACCACAGAATTGTGCAAAATAAAAGAATGTATTTTATGGTATGTATATTGGGTCTCAATAAAGCTACTATTTTAAAAAGAAGTAAAAACCACCCTGGCCGGTTTGGCTCAGCGGTAAGAGCATTGGCTTGCCGTCCGGAGAGACCCGGGTTCGGTTCCCGCTAAGGGCATGTACCTCGGTTGCAGTTTGTCCCTGGTCCTGGTTGGGTCGTGTGGGTGGCAGCCACTCAATGTGTCCCCTTCACGTCGATGTTTCTCTCTCTCCTCTCTCTCCCTCCCACTCTATCTGAACAAGAAATGGAAAAATGTCCTCGGGTGAGGATAAAAATAAATAAATAAATAAATAAATAAAAAAGAAGTCAAAGCCAAGTAAATAAGGGCCATCCCTGAATTATTTTTAGTGAACTGATGGCAATCATTGTTCCTTTTTTAAGGGCTCACAAACCGTCCTTTGGTAATACTAGGTCCTGGGCTGGTCCATCTGCGATTCATATGCTCTGCCTACTTCCTGGAAACCCAGAAGTACCTTACTCATCTCCAGACCCAGTACACCTGTCTTGTCCTTCAGCATCCTCGGAGCTCACCAGCAGATCCCGGGGTCTCATCTGCATCCTGTGGCACCTGGCACTGTGATTCTTCCGGGCCAGGAGGCAGTGCCCAGTGTGAGCAGAGAGCTGCTCAGTTAGAAATGCCATGCAGAGGGCGGTGGTGTCAGTCGGGTACCAGAGGGGCACGGACAGTGGTGCTGTTGGAGATCAGAGGAGGAAGGGGGCGGCCCCCATAGCTCAGCGGCATAGTATAGAAAGGCCACCAGAGAGAGTCAGGGTGGGAGGGTGGTATGTTCTGGGTGGGGAGAAAGGCATGAGTTGGCCACTGTGGCTGGAACAGGTCACGTTGGGGAGTATAGACCTCATCTCCAGCCCAACCACGTGGGCCTCAAAATACCACCAGCCCACAGAGAGAGATTTCTGGTCGCCTGCAGGCCATATTTCTGGTGGGTGGTGGTGTGGTTCCCAACAATGATGGTTTTTTTTGTTAGGTTGGGGGAAGGGTGAGATAGTGAAGACACCAGATTTGTTCTTTTATTTAAATGTTTAAAATAGACCATTTTAGCCATTAGGTGTCCATTCACATTCTCCTGTAACCATCACCACCATCCGTTTTCTCACCCCAAAGGGAAGCTCAAGCCCAGCGCCCTTCACCCTTTTTCACCTTGTGGCACACATAAACTCCTTGCTAAGATTCTGCGGCACACCAAAAAATACATTTTTTGCCGATCTGACCAAAAATAGGTATAATTTTGACTCATTTACATCATCTGACTATTGTTGGGTTGGCTGTTGTCATTTTTTATTTGACAATCTAAGGGGAAGGAAGTCGGTGCCCCTGACTAACCGTCAGGTATTGCATGATTTAAAAATGCTGGGCCACACCGGGTGAAAACCAGCTCTTTAGCCCATTCAATGGTAACTCCCTATCCCCCACTCCCTGGTAACCACTGTTCTACTGTCTGTCTCTATGAATTCCGGCTGCCCATATCGATGGAATCATGCAGTATTTGTCTTTTGTGTCCGGCTTGTTTCATCCTTAGCATAATGTTGCCAAGGTTCATCCCTATCGTAGCATGTATCAGAATTCCATTCCTTTTTATTGCAAATAAGATTCTATTGCCTACATATGCCGTATCCCGTTGTATGGCTGTGCCACACTTTGTTATCCATTCATTCGTCAGTGGAGCTCATGTTGTTTCCCCCTTTTGGTGATTATGAACGGATATGTCTTTTAAAACGAGGTGTTCATACCTGAGCATCAAAGGAACTCTGGGTAGCAGAAGATAAGATGGAGGCCAGGGAGTGTGTGAGAAAATGTTGTGACAGCCCAAGAGTGTGGAGAAGGGGGTGGAGTGGTCAGGAGAACGCAGAGGACTGGAGGATAAAGAAGGTCCTGTTGGGCTGACCCAGGCACTGGGGAGTAGAGGGAAGCGCTGGGTCCCCACGCGGAAGGCGGAGTCTGTTTCCAGGCACAGGGCTGGGGCTGGAGGGACAGCCAGCAGAGGGACAAGCTCTGTGGTTAAAACTCGGCCAAGAGGGCGGAGCCGGGTCCTCTCTTACCTGTCACTCACACAGAAGTGACCATTCAGATCTGGAGACTAGATGAGTGAGCCAGAGGGCAAAGCCAGAGTGCAGGGACCAGGCCTGGTTCACAGCCTCGTGTAGGAGCAGGAAGCATAAACAGGAGGCAGATAAGAGGAGGGATCGGTGGAGATGGGCGTAGGGAGACCCCAGGGGAGGCTCCTGGAAGCTCCGATGGCTCCGTGTGAATATTGAGGGTGCATGGGGTGCGTTCTTGCAACTCCTCTGTTGTCCTGTATCAGGAGATTCAGTTGATGTTTATTGACTAAAATGGGGGGAATAAAGGTAAACAGGAATATTTTTAATTTTGAAGAAACTATGGCCCAGTTGTGAAGATAAGACATGAGAGCAGCCCGACCGGTGTGGCTCAGTGGTTGAGCATCGTCCCATGTACCCAGAGATCACCAGTTGGATTCCTGGTCAAGGCACATGCATGGATTTCAGACTCGATCCCCAGCAGGGGGAGTGCAGGAGGCAGTCGACCGATGTTAATGTTTGTCTCTCATCAGTGTTTCTCTCTCTCTCCCTCTCCCTTCTTCTCTCTCTAAAATCAATAAAAAACATATTAAATTTAAAAAAAGACATGAACCCTGGCCAGTTTGCTCAGTGGTTAGAGCGTCGGCCTGCAGACCAGAGTCTTGGGTTTGATTCCAGTCAAGGGTACGTACCTGCATTGCAGCTCAATCCCTGGCCCTGGTCAGGGTCATGCAGGATGTGTCTCTCTCACATTGATGTTTCCCTCCCTCCCTCCCTCCCTCCCTCCTTCCCTCTCTCCCTCCCTCCCTCCTTCCCTCTCTCCCTCCTCCCCTCCCTTCCTCTCTATCTGAAAATCAATAGGAAAATATCCTCAGGTGAGGATGGAAAGAAAGACATTAGAACAAGCACGTAGTACAAGATCTACCTGGAATCACAGCATGCAGAGCTCAGCGGTGTTCTGAGGAGAGGGGCGGTCCCTTCTGTTGCTGTGATCTGGGTGCTGCAAGCAGGAGGCGTTTGAGTCGTTTTTCAGTAAATGAGGCCAAAGACTCACACGTCTGGGACAGTAAAACGTTTCTTTCTTCTGGCTGTGCCGTCCCTCATCAGCGCACTTCCTTTGACCCCACAGGTATGATGCCGGGCGGGATGGCTTTATCGACCTGATGGAGCTGAAGCTGATGATGGAGAAGCTGGGGGCCCCCCAGACCCACCTGGGCCTGAAGAGCATGATCAAGGAGGTGGACGAGGACTTTGACGGCAAGCTCAGCTTCCGGGAGGTACCTGCGTTCTGCGGCCCTGAGCCCTAGAGAGGGCGTGTCCCCGAGGACCCTCAAACGTATAGTCCCCTGGAGTACAAATGGCTTTGGCCTCTCCTGAGCACTGTTTGGATATTTAAACCACTGTCCTGCTTGTTAAAGCAGTTTAAGGGGCCCTGGCCAGTGTGGCTCAGCAGTTAAAGCATCGGCCCATGGACTGGAAAGTCCCAGGTTCGGTTCCTGCTAAGGGCACGCACCTCAGTTGCAGTTTGTCCCCAACCCCCATTGGGGTTGTGCGGGATAACCATTCGATGTGTCTCTCTCACGTCAATGTTTCTCTCTCTCTCTCTTCCTCTCTCTCTCTCCCTCCTGCTCTATCAGAAGATAAATGCAAAAAAAAATGTCCTCGGGTGAGGATAAAAAAATTAAAAAATAAATAAAATAATAATCATTTAAGGGGCAGGTGAACCTCAGTCCTGCCATGGGGAAAGATCAGTAAGCAGGCTGGAAATCGGTGTGGCCCTGGCCGGGTGGCTCAGCTGGATGGAGCACCATCCTGTACACCAAAGGTGACGGGTTTGATTCTCGGTCAGGGCACATGCCTAGGAAGGCAGTCGGTCGACATTTCTCTCTCACACTAATGTTTTTCTCTCTCTTTCTCTCCCCCTCTCTCCCCACTTGCTCTCTCTAAAACAAACTTTTGAACAAAGAGTCAGTATAGGTAGGATAACCTTATTAGGGTAAAATGGTATAAGTATTGAGACATCTGGAAGGATGTTCACCAAAATATACATAGTAGATATTTGTGGGTGTAAAGTCCTGGTGGTTTTATAATTTTATACTCTTTTATAGATTAAAACTTTTTATTTTTATAGTAAGCATTTAAAAGTAGTAAAAAAAGGCTGCCCTCTCTAGGTAGCTCAGTTGGTTAGGGTATTGCCCTGATATGCTAAGGTTGCAGGTTCAATCCCTGGTCACATACAAGAAGCAACTAATGAATGAATAAATAAATGGAGCAACAAATCAATCTCTCTTTCCCTTTCCCTTCCTCTCTCTCTAAAATCAATCAATAAATAAAATTTTTAAATAGTAAAAAAAGCAATTAAACAAAGGGTCATACTCTGCCCATGGCACCTCCTCCCCAAAGTCCTAGAATGGTCCTTTTGGCCTTTGAACCCTGAAAATGCAGGCAAAATTTTCTATGTTTGGGTATCTTCCTGAAAGTGCACATAGATGCACAGGCTGGTCCCCGGTGGGTGAGAAGGCTATTCCTGTTCGGGGGGGATACGTCTCAGGGCCACTGGTAAGGATCCAGCCCCAGAAGAAAGAGAATTCCATGTGTCATGTGTTTAAGTTTTATCAAAAGGCCTCTAGAGGTGGCCTGTATTAGAGTAACTTGGGGACAGCAGCCAGGCTGAAGGCTCAGGGCATTAGCCCAGCATCTGCAGTCTGTTCTCAGGCATGTCTTAGCTGGTCCCTCAGGAGCGGGGAGGGGAGATGACTGTCCTTCCTCGTGTTTACCCTTGGTTATTCCAGAAACAGTGGGGCACTGGCATCCTGTTTGCTGACAGTGAGACTTTGGCCAAGTACTGGACTTCTGTCCAGGCTAGACAGGGCCTTGGATGCTCTTCCTAGAGTGTCTGCAGCTGACTGGCAGCCACGAGCCCCTGTCCAGCTGTGATGAAACTGGCCTTGCCTCTTACTACCCACAGATCAACTCCAGATTCTCCCAGCTCGCCCTTTCCTGAACTGTCAGCTGTGGAGGTGGAGGATCACAGGACCCTCACAACTAGGATAATCCAGGCCCGCCTTCACTGCAGGGCTGGGAGCGAGAGGGCCAAACAGATCAGCGCTTGTCTGAAATCAGGCTCTAGCTCAGGGCCTGGCCTGGGCTGCAGCCTCTGGGGCACACGGCCTCCCATTGTCACTCACCATGGTCGCCTCCCCAGCTCTCTCTCTGGCTCCCTCACTGGCCATTTGGTACCTTCGTATCCTGCACGCTTGGTGCTGGCGTTGACTCTATCCAGCCCGGCAGCCCTGGGTGTGGAAGGTCAAAGCTTTGCCTTGGTGACGCTTTGGAGGCAGCTCCGAAGAAAGAGCTTCTGCAGCAAAGTTGTTATCTCTGGGAAACAGAAATTGAGAGGGTGTTGAGAGGTCTGTGCAGGTCACCAACTGAGCTCACACAATCCCTGCTCATTTTACCCAAGGGACCTCCAAACTTGCTCCTCCTAGAGTCCAAGATGCTTGGTTAGCGGCTGGTTTGACCATTTCGCACAGACAGTGGACAGTAGAGGCTTGGACATCCCCAAGGGTCCCGTGGTGGGTTTTTAACCCACCTCCAGCGCTCAGTGACCTACGCGTTCAGTCCTCTGTTAGTTCAGAGCCCCCTGCGCTCCCACCCTGAGCAGGTGTCGGCACATTTGCCGTTAACTCTGCTGATGTACTGGAAGGAGGCTCACATCAGACCTCAGTCTCACACAAGCTGCAGGACTTCAGCACATTGTTTTCCTCCTGTGCCTCAGTTTTTCTGTCTTAAAATGGGAATATTAACAGCTTTCCCTCAGGACTGTTGGGAGAACTAAGTTCTCTTTCTGTGCCGGTATCAGTGAGAACTCTTGGTTGTAAGTGACAGAAAGAGAATGCCAACTAATGTAAGTGAGAAAAGCCTGATAACTATCGGTTCACATACCTGGAAGATGAAGAGGTAGAAATGCTTTAGGCACAAGTAATCCAGCATCATTCCCTTGCCATATCTTGACATCTTGACTGTGCTTCCTTCTGTGTCCACCTCATCTTCTCCTTCCACGTAGGGTGTTGTCCCAGGGCCTGCTAGATGGCTGATAGCAGCCCCAAGGCACAGTGCCCTGGTTTAGCAACCCCAGTGAATAGAGGGCATCTTTATCCCAGAGTTCATACCAGTCCCAGAGGAAGGCTTCTGATTGGCCTTACTAGGGATGCACACCCGCCTCCTGGACCAATCATTGCATTCAGGGGACTGATTGGCAAGTCCAGGGGTTCCCAGGTAGACAAAATTGCTCACTTCTTCAATTTCTTTCTCACAACCTGGCATTTAGTAGGTGCTTAGTAAATATTGTGTTTCTTTTTCTTTTAAAGACTTTATTGATTTTCAGAGAGAGAAGAAGAGAAAGGGAAAGGGAGAAACATCGATGTAAGAACAAAGCATCAGTTGGCTGCCTCCTGCACATCCCCTACCGGGGATCAAGCCCTGACCGGGAATCGAACCAGCAACCTTTTGGTGATGGGAACGACACTTGACCAACCGAGCCACACCAGTCAGGGCATTGTGTTCCCTTTTTTAAACTCTATCAAGCAAGTCACACCCAAATAAAGCTCTGATACAGAAGGTAGGTCTCCATTAAGGACTATTTTGCTGCTTTTCCCCAACATACAAGGAAATTGATCTTTCTCTTAAACCATTTATTTTCCAATTATGAAAATAATGCATGCACATTAGGGGCATTTTTAGAAAATGGCATACATGGAATCACTAAAAATGATTAATGCAACGCAGTGTTGCATGACCAGAGAACAACTGTTGACAATGTAAAAAGCAGGGACCAAAGCACATTACTCAACTGTATGTAAAATGTGATTATTTGCATTTATGGTTTGTGTGCGACCAGACACGTAGAAGAAGTTGTAAGGATGGACCAAAATTTTATTGATTTTAGAGAGAGAGGAAGGGGGAGAGAGAGAAACATTGATAGGGACTCTTGTACGAGTCCCTATCAGGAATCAAACCTGCAACCTATGTATGTACCCTGACCAGGAATCAAACCTACCACCTTTTGGTGTATGGGCTGATACTCCAACCAGCTGAGCCACCTGGCTAGGGCTCCCCTTGAGTTTTGTGTTTTTGTTTTCTTTAATATGTTCTTATTACTGATTTGAGAGAGAGAAGGAGGGAGAGAGGAACATTGATATGAGAGGGTAACATCAATAGGCTGCCTCCTACATGGCCCCTACTGGGGATCGAGCCTGCAACTTGGACATGTGCCCTGACCGGAATGGGCGACCTCTTAGGTGCATGGGACGATGCTCAACCATGAGCCACACTGCGCCCTTGAGTGTTTTTAGACATCCTTTTAGGCAATGGCTACCTCCTTTTTGCTTAAGCCAAGGCTGTTTCTGTTACTTGCAGTCTAAGAACGCTAACTAATACGGGCACGTGTTTGCATCTCAAGCTAGAGCCATGACGTTTACATTTTCCCAAATTTATCAGAAGCATTTGATAGCTTGTATCTGAAATTGCTTTAAGCTTTGTCAGTTCTCTCTCTCTCTCTGTTTCTTTGTTTTCTGCTTCTCCTTCCCTCCCCCGCTCTTTGCTCATAGTCACAGCTAGGACACTTTCCAATTCTCCACAACATACCAGTCTTTGTGGACTATAAATAGGAAGGCAAACAAGGCTGGGCAGTTGGAGAAATTATCATTCAGGGGTTGCTGATTGCAATAAAATTAAATGAGAATGTCTGGTATGCTTTATGGAAGGCTGAACATTTTCAGGAGGAGCTGGACTTTTTTCTTCTTCACCTGGCTGGGGCGGGGCCCCTAACTTAGGACAGGGCTCCTATTGGTCATCTGCTGAGCGGGCCCAGGAGGCTGGGCCAGGCTCTGCTCTGGGAAGAGACTCATGAGGATACTTTAAGCCATTCTGTAAACACAAAGGAACATTGTCGTCTCCCCTTGGGATGGGAGAGACCTCCCCAAGGTCACCTGGGTTGCTAGGCTGGGGCAGTACACTGTCTTTCCTGGGCTGCCTCCGTGGGCCCAGAGGAGAGGCTCGTCGGAGGGGCTACCTGCTTTGGAGTTTGCCTTACAGAGCAGGGGGGCGGGGGGGGGGGTTAATTAAATGCTTTAAAGACAGGCAGGGTACTGAGGGACTGAGGGACGGATACTTCCCCCCTGCCCGCCTCACAGGGCTCGTGTTTGCAGCACTGAAGTCTCTGCTGCTCGAGTCTCTTCCACGAGAGCCTGACCACAGGCGTCCCCACCGCCCCCTTGCCCTCCCTTCTACTCTTGGGGGCCTCACCTCCGTCAACAGGCTCGTTTTCTTTTCTTTTTATAGCCAATATGTATGTATGTATGTATTTATTTATTTATTTTAATTTTTTTTTTTTTATCCTCACCCGAGGATATTTTTCCTTTTTTTTTTTTGTTCAGACAGAGTGGGAGGGAGAGAGGAAGAGAGAGAGCGAGAAACATCGATGTGAAAGGGACACATCGAGTGGCTGCCACCTGCACGACCCAACCAGGGCCGGGGACAAACTGCAACCGAGGTACATGCCCTTAGCGGGAACCGAACCCGGGTTCCTGTGGACTGCAGGCCAACGCTCTAACCGCTGAGCCAAACCGGCCAGGGCTGTATGTATTTATTTTTAAAAATAGTTGAATACACTTCTTTTATACAGGATGGGGCAAAAGTAGGTTTCCTGTTGTCGTACAGAAAATAATACAACAGTTACTACAAGAACAAACTGGTGCTGGCTTTGGCAGCACAGGTACTGGAGTTGGAAGGATGCAGAGACTAGCATGGTCCCCTGCACAAGGATGACACGCAGGTTCGTGGTGTTCCACGTGTTCAAGGGAACCCTCGTGCACTGCTGGTGGGAATGCAGACTCGTGCAGCCACTGTGGAAAACTGTGGAGATTCCTCAAGAAATTAAAACTGGAACTGCCGTTAGACCCAGCAATCCCTCTGGGAATATACCTTAAGAATCCTGAAACACCAATCAGAAAGGACATATGCCCCCCTATGTTCATGGCAGCCCTATTTACAGTAGCCAAAATATGGAAACAGCTCAAGTGCCCATCAGTAGATGAGTGGATAAAAAAGCTGTGGTACATTTACATGGCCGTAAAAAGGAAGGAACTGTTACCTTCTGTGACAGCATGGACGGACCTGGAGATTATTATGCTAAGTGAAATAAGCCAGCCAGAGAAAGACAAATACTGTAGGATCTCACTCATATGTGGAATCTAAAGAACAAAATAAACTGACAAACAACATAGAAGCAGAGTCATGGGTACATGGTACAGACCGACAGATGTCAGAGGGGAGGTGGGCGGATGGGATGAATGGAGGTGGAGAGAGTAGCCGAAGAACATGTACGCATAGCTCATGGACACAGACGACAGTGGTGAGGGCCAGAGGAGGGGGGGTCTGGGTGGAGTGGAGCAAAGGGGGAGGCAGGAAGGGGAACATCTGTAATAATGTCAACGATAAAAATAAAATATAATAGCCCGGCCAGTGTGGCTCAGTGGTTGAGCATTGACCCATGCACCAAAAGGTCGCCAGTTCGATTGCTGGTCAGGCACATGCCCAGGTTGTGGGCCCGATCCCCAGTGAGGGGTATGTGGGAGTCAGCCAATTGATGTTCTCTCTCATTGATGTTTCTCTCTCTTCTCTCTCTAAAATCAATAAAGAAAAATAAAGTATAATAAAAAAAAGAATAAACTCTGTTTCATGTACTCACAACTGTAAACCTACATTTGTCCCATCCTGTACTTGAACTTGGCTCTCAGACGTATAAAATGAAACACTGAAGTGTCTTTATATTCAGTGATAGAGCCGATATCATTATACCTTTAATATAACGATGTTAATATTTTCCAAGCCCCGAGCGTGTTCTGGCTCGACAGCCTGCAGCAAAGTGAGCCTTTGCCGGCCCCTAGTGAGAGAGCAGGAAGCTGCAGGTGGGTGGACCTGGCTGCTGCCCAGCCGGCCGCGGCCCTGCACAGCTGCACATCCCTGAGCATCCGGCTTCGGCCCTTGCTTTGCCTTCGGCAGTGCTCACGTGGGGTCAGGACCCCGAAGCAAGAATTACAGAGAAAGCTGTATTAGCGAGACTTTTGGGGTGGTGGTGGTGGAGGTCGAAACTTTGACTTAATGAAACACATCCTTCTAGGGATTAGAAGCCTTGGCAATAAGACCCCAGGTGGGCCCTGGCCGGTTTGGCTCAGCGGTTGGAGCGTCGGCCTGCGGTACAGAGAGACCCGGGTTCGGTTCCCACTAAGGGCATGTACCTCGGTTGCAGTTTGTCCCCGGCCCTGGTTGGTCGTGCGGGTGGCAGCCACTCGATGTGTCCCTTCACGTTGATGTTTCTCTCTCTCTCTCTCCCTCTCTCTCCCTCCTGCTCTATCTGAACAAAAAATGGAGAAAATGTCCTTGGGTGAGGATAAAAAAAAAAAAGAGCCCAGGTGGAGTCTGGAGAGCATGTCGAAGGTGTTTACCTCTCACTGTGCTTCAGGAAATGCTGTGTCCTCTGGAGAAGCCCTTCGATGGTCATGCAAAAGAACCCTAACGCCTGAAATGTCCCTGCTTTTTTCCTCCCAGTAGCACCTGAAAACCTGGAGAAGCCTCTTTCTGAGGTGACGTGGAATGCATAATTCATATTCTCCACAAAAGGAAACATGAATTAGAGAATTTGGATAACAGTGAAAGGAGAGAAGTTAAAAGCCATCAAATTGACTTGGGGCAGGAAGCCGGAAAGCGGGGTGGGGGGGGGGGGAGCTTGGCCTGTTTGTTTATTTTTAAATGCATTCTATGGCGGCCCCAGTACATGTTGGCTTTAAAGATTAACTCGTTCAGGTCGCATTTTGAATCTGAAGGAGAAGATGGATTATTCAGTAAATGAAGTGGGGATTACTAACTAACCATTTGGAGGAAAATAAGGTTAATGATCAACATCGCACGATAGAGCAGAATAAATTTCAGAGATTAAATATTTACATGTTAAAAAAAAGTTATAAAAGCAGTAGACAACAACATGGGTGATTGTTTCTATAACCTTGGTGGCGAGGAAGGTTTTTCTAAGCATAACACTGGTGAGAAAAAGAAAAGGGTTGATAGACTTTTATGTAAAATTTTTGAAAGTCAAAAAGTACATAAACAGAAAGGGCAAGACGGAGCCAAAGTATCTGAAACATATCTATAAAGATGTTTTGGGAAACACTAAGAAAGGTAAACAATCTAATGGAAAATGGGACACATCGGAAAATAGGAATGATGAAAACATCAGGAATATGGGATTATTTAATTTAAGAAATAGTCTGTACAGCCCTGGCCGGTTTGGCTCAGCGGTTAGAGCATCGGCCTGCGGTCCAGAGAGACCTGGGTTCGGTTCCCTCTAAGGGCACATACCTTGGTTGCGGTATGTCCCCGGCCCTGGTTGGTCGTGCGGGTGGCGGCCACTCGATGTGTCCTTTTCACGTCAATGTCTCTCTCTCTCTTTCTCTCTTCCTCTCTCTCCTTCCCACTCTATCTGAACAAAAAATGGAAAAATGTCCTCGGATGAGGATAAAAAAAAAAAAAGAAAGAAAATAAATAGTCTATACAGGCCTGTCAAACTTCTTTCCTGGCTTTGCCAGTGTTTTGCTTTTATAGCTAATGCTCCTGTAATGTTGGTGTAAACTTTTTGGAGACTAGATTCCCGCAGTGCAATCGATGATTGGCAGGGTGAAAGCATTTCATTGTTGGTAAATATTCCAAAGTGCCCTTCAAAAAATTTGAATCAAAGTTTACACTCTCATAAACTAGATATCAGAGCACCCATGGCCCTAAATCCTTTTTAAAAATGGCCACGTTTTCTTTGTTGACTGTGTGATAAGGGAGAAACTGATGGGCACTCACGCACATCTCCACCCTCTATGTGGGCTTGCCAATAGCGCTCTGTGGCCCTGGCCAGTGGCTCGGTTGGTCGGAGCATCGTCCCCAGAGCACCGAAGGGTTGTGGGTTTGATTCCTGGTCAGAATACATACGTAGGGAGGCAGTCGATTGATGTTGCTCTCTCATATCTATGCTTGTTTTTTTCTTTTCTTTTCTCTCTCTCTCTCCTTCCCTTTCTCTTTAAAAATCAATTAAGAAAAACATCCTGGGGTGGGGATTAAAATAATGATGATGATGATTAAAGTAATGATGATGGTGGTGGTGGTGGTGGTGGTGGTGGTGGTGGGCCAAGGAGGTGGTGGTCAATGTCTCAGCGATGTCGCTTTCCCCACAGTTCCTGCTCATATTCCACAAGGCTGCGGCCGGGGAACTGCAGGAGGAAAGTGGGCTGATGGCCCTGGCAAAGCTGTCTGAGATCGATGTTGCCCTGGAGGGCGTCAAAGGTGCCAAGGATTTCTTTGAAGCCAAGGTAGGTGGCTTCTTCCTGTGCTGGGCCATCGCCCCTCCTCCGCCCACCAGACAGGACCCCAGTTGGTGCCCATCTCCTGAACTCCCTCAGGTCAAGCTTAAGATAGATCATGCGTGATCGCAGGAAATGAGAGTGTGTGTCTGTGCAATCTGCAAATTCAAAACAAAACAGGAAAACGACCGGATGTAAATGCATTAGAGCCTGGTTTCAGATGCCAGCAGGTTTGCTGATACAACACTCCCAGATCGACTCTTGATGCAGACCTGCCTAAAGAATTCCTCCCCAGCCCTGACCACATTTGAGTTACTTGGACAGCCACGTCCATGTTTGTATCGTACACACTTATGTGTAAACCAGTGAATAAAAATAGGGCCAGAGGATGAAGCCTCGGTGACTTCCCCCAAATTTGCTCCGTTGACAATGGCTGGGAGTTGGAAAGGAGTCTGTCTTGCACGGTCTTGGATCTCTGCCGGTGCCTCCATTCATTCACACGTTCATCCAGCCGTTGAACGTTTGTAGGGAGCCCACCCTTGCCGGGCGCTTCGCTTCAGCTCTGCGGAGCACACCTGTGGAAAGAGATCAGGAGAGCCCTCCAAGTGCTCGGGCCACCACCGCAGTGGAGTGCAGTGGGAAGGAGGCTGCCTGGCGTCAGATTCTGCCTCCTCCTGTACCTGTGCGTGCCTCAGTTTCCTCATCTGTACAGTGGGGATGATGATGAGGTTGCCGTGAGGATTACATGAGTTCACACATACACAAAGTGTTAAGTATGTGGCTCGTCGTGAGTACTCCGTATGTGACATGAGCTGTTGGGACTCCCTACCACTCCAGGTGGGAGCCAGCCTCTTAGGTGGTTTTGACGTATTCCACTAGTCTGCCCAGAAACAGTCCTTGCTGACACATCCCAGCCTGCTCGGGCCCTAAGCACACCTCTCTTCTCACCTCTCTGTGATGCCGCTTGGAGAAACAGCCCGTCTCTGTGCCAACACGTGGACTGACTCCTGGTGGACTCTGCCTGAATTCCTACCGCCGTCTCCTGACGGTGTCAGCGCAGGCTGGCCACTCATTGCACCGTCAGCACCAGTGTTGTGTGTCCAGCCTTGAAAGCGGTTTGGCCCTTCCTTCATGATGTAGCGTTGATTCGACCCAGTTCCTCCCAGCAATGCCAGGCACCACATTAAGCTAAGGGGACAGGAGGGCGTGGTAGACAGAACGTTTGCCCTCCACAGGGCTCACACTCAGTCTAGTGAGGAAAGCAGACTGTCCGCCTTGGTAGACGGGGAGGAGAGAGGCAGGGCTGATTCCGGTGGGATGGGTCCTCCCATTCATTGACTGAGTTAACACAGCACATCTCTCGTGTTGTCTTGGGCAGGGCTCTATGACTGAGACCCATCTTAGCAGGACACTGGATTTTTTTTATTTTTTAAAAAATAATTGTGTCATATTAAAAGAGGCAGGGTTTTATTTGTTTATTTATTGTTTTTAATCCTCACCCGAGGACATGCTTAGAGTGAGGAAGGGAGAGAGAGAGAAACATCTATGTGAGAGAGAAACATTGATCGGTTGCCTTCCATACGTGCCCCCACTGGGGCTCGAACCAGCAACCTTGCGGTGCACTCCACCACTGAGCCACTCTAGCCGGGTTTAACTTACATGGAACAAAATTTTTTTTTTTCTTTATTGATTTTTACCGAGAGAGAGAGAGAGAGAGATGACAGAGAGCATTGATTGGCCACCTCCTGCACGCCCCCCACTGGGGACCGGGCCCACAACCTGGGCATGTGCCCTGACTGGGAATAGAACCAGCGACCTCTAGGTGCATGGGTCAACTCTCAACCACTGAGCCACACCAGCCGGGCTTATTTTACATTTTTAATAATATATATCTTTAAACTTGGAGCTGGGGTAGGTGGTGGAAGAGAGGAGGAGCCCGGAGCTTAGCCAAGTGCTTTTGTCAAAGTCTGTGTGAAGTCTCTGGGAACGTCTTACCAGCATTCAGAGTTCTCGTGATCCAGTTCTGGCCCCTCCCCAGCCTCGTCCGCCCCATGCACATTTCTTCAGATACTGCCCCGCTTGTCACGACTGTCTCGGTACCTGTTGTTTCCTCCGCCTGGATGGTCCCGTCCAAATGCCTCTTCCTAGAAAACTCTCCTTGTTCTTTGAGACCCGTGTTAACGAGCTGCCTCCTGTTGGCTGCGTTCCCTGACTCTCCTGGCCGAGAGCGTCTGTCCCCTTCTGCTGCCTCCGTTCTGAGTGGAAGTGGTGTTATAATTTATCTGTTCATTCTTGGACACTCCGGGCAAGTGCATGAACTGACCCAGCTTTCTGGAGAGCGTTTTGGGGCTGTTAACATCTCACATCCTTCACCTGCAGCTTGGATTTTAGCCTTGGCCTTCAGAGACACGTGCAAATGCGTATAGAAATATAGGCCAGGCTGTCAGCTGGTATGGCTCAGTGGTTGAGCATCCACCCATGCACCAAGAGGTCACCAGTTTGATTCTCGGTCAGGGCACATGCCCAGGTTGTGGGCCCGATCCCCAGTGGGGGGGGGGCATGCAGGAGGCGGCCAATTGATGTTCTCTCATCGGTGTTTCTATCTGTCCCTCTCCCTTCCTCTGTCTCTAAAATCAATAAAGAAAAAAATTATTTAAAAAAAAAAGAAATATAAGCCAAGCTCTTTCTACAGCGCTCTTGACAATAGAGAGAAACTGGGAACGACGGAAGCTTCCATTACCAGGGACTCGATCCATCTGTCCCACCCACACATCTGCACACCCTGCAGCCACGCGTGTGTGTGGACAGATGTCCAAAATGAATGAGGCAAAACAGTTTGTTTGAAACCCCATTTTGTAAATATTAAATATACCCTGGATAATTATATATCAAAGTATCAGCAATACCTGTGTCTGAGGGACTTTTTAAATATATATATATATTTGTAATGTTTTATAATTTGGGTACATTATTTTTATAACCAGGAGAAAAGATGAAAAGAATAACAATAAAATTTTTTGAACTTGTTATGTTTATACGTCTGCCTCCCCACCCAGAATCAAAGGCAGAGTAGGCGTGTTATCTTTGTAATTACAGTGCCTGGCATATAATGGCCCTCAATAAACATTTGCATGAATGACAAATGGGGGGAATCACCCCTTGAATTTGGGAGAGGGCCATAAAGGAGCTGACGTTTTCGACAGATGTTCAGAGATGAATGGAGACTCACCTTGTAATCAAGGAAGGGAAGGCGTTCCTGCCGTGGGAACGGCCGGAGCGGAGGCTCCAAGGCGTGGAGGGTAAGGAGTGGTCTGGAGGCTGGCCCTTGTCCGCACTGGGCACACTGGACAGGCAGTTCTGGGCTCCGCTGGAGGTCGGGCCTTCCCCAGCCTGCTGACCACCAGAACTCTCTGCAGGCCAGCTTCCCAGGCCCCACCCAGACCTACCTGGGATTTTCCCAGGAAACGTGGACTTGAATGAGCTCTGCAGGTATTTCAGTGTAGAGCCAGGCTTGGAAAGCGTAGGGCAATCGCGGGCGTCTTAGAGAAGTCTGAGCGGGACCCTGACGTGATCTGTGGTGGGCACTCTGAGGGCCGACTTGCCGGGGGAGAGGCTGGACTTGGGAAGCTCCCACAGATTCTGGGGAATTGTAGGTCCAGTGACAGTAGTGACGGTGGGACTGGGGAGGAGGTGGGATGGATCTCCAAATCCCCAGAACGCTCAGTATTGATGACCACTTGATTGCAGGTAGGACAGAAAACACCACAAGGCGTGCAGAGCTGTGTGGAGAGGGGTTGGTGATATTTTTTTCCCATCAAGACAGGACCTCCATCCTGCCATGGGAATAATTTAAGGAGGAAAAGTTATAAATTGGGTTTTAGAGTTAAGTCTAAGGTGACTTATGGCTAAGGGGAGGCATGCCCCTTCATTTGAAGGGCATGTTGGTTGCAAATAGTTTCTGTTCTCATCTTGTTGGATAGAAGTTGGCCACACCTGGCTGCATGGGAGGCTACAAAATGCCTTTTTTCCTGGCGTTCTGTGTGCGCAGCTGTAATTCTGCTAGTAGGGAAGATGCTGAGGGTCATGGAATAATCTCTTCCACCCATGTCCATTGCTAAACCAACTGGCAGGGGCTACACTGTCATGACCCTGACGGGGCTCTCTCTCCTGGAGCCTGGACCATGGGGGAAGTCTCATAGGAAGAAAAGAGGGGGGAAATGGATTGGATGCTTCACGAACACCCAAGCACACAGGTCACAGGAGCTCTTGTCACAAGAGACAAGGTGGAAACCATGAACTGGGGGGATTGACCAAATGCTACGGCATAATGGTGACCGGACTGTGAGGAAGGAAGTAATCAGAGGTACGAGGAAACCCTGGGGAAAATGCTCTTTTGGAGCACGGGAACAATTTTAAGAAGACATTACACCAGATGAGGCCAGAGCAGAGGGCTCAGGTCTAGCAAGTGGGTCTATGGAGATTTCTGAGAGATCAGGTTGACTGGAGAGGGCAGATTGCAATAGGGTGAGGTGAGTGGGAACCGGGGAGGAGGGGCCCTGAGGGCTGATTCCTCTCTGGAGGTTGGCAGGGGAGTCCTGGACCAAGTGGGGACGGCAGCTTGGGATCAGGGAAGAACTTGGGTGGGTGTTTTTTAGCCTAGACATAATAGATGCTGGCATGCGTTTAGGTCCCAGGGAAGTGGTCCGGGGAGAAGGAAACAGGAAGACCAGGTGGGGTGATGGATGGGATGAGGACTTGGTAGTCACAGAATCCAGAGAAGAGGTGGACTTTTACAGTGGAGAAGAAGGACCCCGAGTGAAGGAATCGCAAGGGTCCCTAACCCCTCTGACCTGGCTGGGAATGGTGGGCAGGAGGGGCAAGTAACAAACATGGGGGTGTTGATGACGGGTGAGGCCCTCTGCTGAGCGCTCCAGAGGTACGTGGTGGTGTCCCACCTTGCAGAGGAGGAGACTGAGGCTTAGTCAGTGGCTTGTGTAAATGTTTAGCAA